CCAACCTCAATACACACGTGAATACCAACCTCAACAACCAGAACAATTCCAGCCACAATACCAAGCTTACCAATCTGGACAGTTTCAACCGCAATGCCAGGCTTACGAATCAGGACAATCCCAACCTCAATACGAACCTCAATACACACCTGGATACGAACCTCAATACCAACATGAATACCAACCTGAACATCCAGGAGAATTCCAGCCAGAATTCCAAGTTTGCCACTCAGGAAAATTCCAACCTCAATACCAACCTCAACATCTAGGAAAATTCGAATCACAATACTAAGCTAACTGAGCTTAATAAATTGGTACTGGAATTGCTTATGCATGTTTTGCCTACTGATCAACAGTAGTCTCGTTGAAGGAGGTTATCGGCGGTAAGCAGTGCTGACCGTTAATTAGCTCGGGGGCACACTCTTCATACATAGCAGCGTCTAGCCTACTGATTGGGGTTTTCCTTCATGTACCTTGGCCTTAGACTGAACCCGTAACCTGAGTCACAAATAAGCACAATCCAAACTGATTGGATTTGGGTGACAAGATACGGTGTGGTAAAATTTCGTATCTTTATATGTACGTCACCAGAGAGTAACTGGGTAACAATTTAGTTGCCCAGCAACGTTAGACAACTATACTTAAGTAACTACACGCGACTTCAGGCCTTTAATCTACTGCCTATCCTGTCACCTTTGGCAAATTCTGACTAAAGTCGAGTAAGTAGTGGTTGCGATACGAAAAGCCTCACGTAGACAACAGACCCGGAATTAGAGGACCAAAGCGGAACATACATTTAAGTAATGCAAGCAGGATGAATTCACGACACCACGTATCTACAGTCCTGCGAGTCCTGCAAGCAACTTTCCTAAATTTGTAAATGTTTGATTATTTCTCGCATATCAGCGAGAACGCATATACGAAAACTTATAAATAATAATGAGCAACATTAGGCATATTAAGTACTTAAAAAACCTATAAGAATTACTAAGTGTTTGTTAAGAAAAATAAAATTTTCTCAATAATCCTCAGGTTCTGGAGATGTAAAAAAGAGCTATAAATTAGAACAATAAATTTAAATATTTTGTTAAGTATAAAACTTAA